TATATTTAATTACATTAGACTGGGATAAAACATATGATAAATTCTTTAATATAAATTAACTATCATTAAGTGTGTATATGTATAAAACAGACTAGAATAACTCCTGAGAAATTCTACCTATCCTATTGATTATATAAATTTTGAAAGAAATAGCTAAATATGTATAGACCTAGTAGACATATTGGTAGGAGCCATTTCACCCCTACTGAGATAGATATACTCACTAGACATACTTAAATCAGTAAAAATCATTCTGAGTTTAAAGGTAATAATTTACAGCTTTAACTTTCATGCTAGTTTTATAACCATAATTTAGTCTTTCTGAAAAGAAAAAGTAAAGGTAAATACTGCAATCAAATGTTAACAATTAATAAGTAAAGTCTGATATTCATACTCTGATGTGCAGTTTCATATTCAGTTAATTCTGATGCTTTATGAAAATCATTGTAAAACTATTTTAGGATTCTCAAAAATACTGTAACATTTCTAAATTATTAAGTACCTTCACTAACTTAAATTCAAGCTATCCACTTAAAGTATAATAATACCTGCTAATTTAAACTGAAAAGATATTGCATAAGAAGTTATAAATATTTTTAAAGTAGTTATTTCTTCAAAAATAAACAGCATATATTTCTTCTTAATAAGAACATTAAATTTGACTCAGAAAAGGAAAAATAGCTATATTTAACTTATATACTCATGCATATTTTTGTGTATTTTTACAGTCAAAGGTAGAGGTTTTTTTTCCAAATGAGAGAAATTATTTAGCTATTCAAGCTTCAAATACATAAAATGCACTCCAAACAAAGGAGATTCAAGTGGTGGTGTCAAACAGCAAAAGTACAGTGGAAAAACAAAAGCACATTCATTTTCTCATCAATGGGTAATACTAATAAAATATTTCATTAAATAATTTGGGAATGCTTATCTATAATTAGCTAATGGTTTATTTTGATATTTTATGTACAGATACACACATTGTAAATGGTTACATTTTGTAGAGTATAGTAATAATATAAAAATGGTAAATAGTGCATTTCTAAATATTAGGAAGTGAACTCTTTTCCCAGAACAACTAGATCCTATGTTAATTAGAATAAAGACTTAACAATCTTTACCAGTGATAAAATTACAAGGAAATTTTCAATCAAGAAGAAATCTCCATTGTAAAATCAGGAATTGTGTACCCTCTTCTTTTTCACATGAAGAAATGAAATCCTCTTACCTGTCACCCTGGCCTCCAAGAAAGAGCTTAAAATGTCAAGACCCAGCCTCCTCCTGCCCTCCTTTTCATGGTTTATTAAGTGAAAAGCCCAAACTTTTCATGGTCCCTTCTGGTTCCAACAATCTATGATTCAAATAGGGGTAATGACTCTCTTTTCTTGTTCAGTAGTGTCCTGGTGAGGGAGTGATTTTACTGTCCTTTTTCTGTGGGGTCCTGCCGGTTTATCTAAAAGGAAATGAATTACAACAGAAGGACAAGGCCACAAAATAAAGCCATTTAGTTCTACAAATCTATTATGTCCTCCAATCTGTTTTATGGGCCTGGTCCTATTATAAACTGAGAAACAGTCTAAAACAAACTTTTCCTCCTGTCTCTTTTCAGTGAAAACATTTACAATTTTCTGATTGTCTCTCAAGCAGTTCAGCCTCCCCCTTCCTTATGTGTTTCTTTTCCCAGAACACCTCCATCCCACTTTCTCAAACATACAAAACATTTGGAGACAAGAAACTGGACTTTTCAAATACAAACTGCTGACAACTGTCAGAAGCACTTTACTGGGACATTACTGACTGCAGCTTCAATGAATTAAGCTTGATTCACTGCGGGTGAATCATTTTCAATGCAGAGCTGTTCAGCAGTAATTGGCCAAGAATCCCTGCTGAGAAAAGCACTTGTCAAATAATGCTTGTTTACAAATATATCTCCAGACAGCAAAAAAATGGCAGTTACTGAGTAAGTTCAGGGCCACCTCCAAAAATTCATAAGCATGGACTTCCCCCTTTAATTTGTAAAAATTTTCTCGTTGATACACTTGGTAATAGTGTCCTGCTTGATCAATCTGAGGCAAGTCTCTTGGTAATTATGTCTCTGAACTATTCTATGATAAAAATTTTTATATTGTACTACAGATGGAAGGTTTCTTCCACTTGCAGTTTATATCTGTAAAAAGATAACTGAAGATATAATTACCTAGTAAATTGCTTAGAATTTGTGCTGAAGAATAGATTTTCCTTCTATTGTCTGCTAATCAACACATTCTAAATAAATAAATTTAACATCAATCCAAGATTTTAGATACAAGTTTGGCTTTTTCTGTTCAAGCCTGCTTATTTAAATCTATTAAAGTTAAATTCTAATAATGACAGAAATACCAATTTTGAATGTAAAGTCACATTTATTTCTTTACACACACACACACACACACACACACACACACTCATATACAACAGTTCTTTAAATTACTAAACATCTGTATTAGGTTGTAAGAGCAAATTATATGAGAGCAAGTTATTAATGAATTTAAGGTGTACATCAATTCTTTCTGTCCTTGTCCTTTCAAAGTTCATCCTGAAACAAAACCAAACTGAAAAACTCTAACCTGACTCACCAATTAAATAAAACAATCTGCTGCTACAAATATTTTAATACATTTATAATAACACTAACATGGAAAACCAAAAGGGAAGACTGGATTTCATAGAAGCAAAATAAAGGTCTGAGATGATACTAAAGGAATGATGGAAAATTGGCAAAGATGGGATAAATTAGATAAGACTGATGGCAATAAAATTTTATTTCTAAGTATGTATAACATAAAATTATGTATATGTCACAAAATGTGTCCCAAACAACAGGCACACTTTTATTCTTGTGTCCTCAGAGGACTGGAGGGTAAAGTACTGCTTAGTTTTTTTGGATCCCCTCTCCAACCCTTATCTCACTGTAGCTCAAGTTCGCTGTGTGTTCTACTAGTTGGGTAAGACCATACAACCTGTGGACATGAAATCTAAAGTGAGTCAGTCTCCATTCCAGAACATTACACCAGATTAGGAAACTGGTGCTACTTTCTTGCTTCCTTTTCATTTATTTCCTTCTCCCTGTTTTTCCTCTTCCCATAATCTTAGTCCTTTATCCCACTTGATCCCATCACTCTGAGAATTCACTTCTTTCTGTTCTCTTAACAGTGACTACCTGTACTCTACCTCAGTTCCGCTCCCTCAACACACATGAAGAAAAAGACTTGAAATTAAAATAGAAAAAACGAAAGGGTGACTCTTTTAGGTCTAACCAGGATGCTCCTTTTCGTGGAATAAGACAGTTAAAGGGACCCATAACCCTGTTAGAATCTTTAACACTTTTAGCCGAATAAATCCAGCATAAGACGTTAGTAAAAGGTCTACAAGACTTCATAAAACACTTTTTCAACTTCATGAGGAAGGGAAAATACATATTGTTTGGCTTAATCATGGGAGATTACATATATATGTATCCATATCTATCGATGGATATATATATATATATATACTCCTTTGATCATATTTTTTTAAAAAATTAAGCATAGGGTTAAGGAGACAAAGTTCCTGGGGTGGGGGGTGGGGGTCTCGATCTTCCAAGCTCTCGCTAGGTTCCTTGGAAGCTGGCAGCAGTAGGATACCAGCTCAGCGCGTTCTCCTACAGCCAAGACTGAACCCGTGCAAGTCACGAGGACACACACGACTCTGGGCTGCTGCTTCATCTTTCCGGTCCAGCTTCTTCTGCCCCAGGAGTGGAAGGAATTTCTTTAAGGTTCTGCGCGTCAGGCTTCACATCCACAGCTCCAAACCAAAACCCCAGCATTCCAAATAAGGGACAGAGTTTTCTATTTTATTTTAAAATTTATTTTATTTATATTTTAAATTTGCGTGATGACCGATCCTGGTATCCCTGATCCGGATCAGAGATGCTCACTGCTCTGGACACCCTCACATCCCCCACCKCGCGGAATGCTCCCTTGAGCTGAGACCCGAGCACAGTACTGGTGTGAAAGAGGAGCTAGCCCAGCTGGAGGCGACAGGAGGGCGGAGGGCTGAGGGTGAAGAGGCTGGCACTGGGTGGGCTGAGCACTGCTCCAGGGGCATCCAGAGCSACACAAGTGTTGCTTCCGCGCCCGGCCTTACTCTCTCAGAAGAAGGCGGGGACAATCTTCTGGTCCGGAGCGCAAAAATGAGGGTAGGTAAGGAGACCTAGGCACCAGGATCTCATGCCTGCTGAAGCCAGTCTTTTTCCCTCTATGAGATAAGCCGCGGTGGGTTCCAGAAGCAACTTCTAGCAGCTATACTCCTCTCCCCTTTCTGCCGCGGCATCCCACCTTCCCGCCTTCTTCTACCTTCGCTTGAGTGTGACAGTGAGACCACCCCCGAAAGAAGGGCGCCCTAAAGTAGGGGTGCCTTTTGTCCTTTGCCATCCTCCTTCAAGAAATAAAAGCTCTTGCCACCCACCCCAGAATAGCATCTGGTGATGCCCTAAATAACAGCTCCCAGCAGGCACTTTCCCCCAAATMAAAAAGCAAAAGCCACCCCCACAACGTTTCCCATCATCAACATCAAATAACGGTTTCTAAAAAGCTCCACCTGTCCTGAAATTCTTGTCGTTGCTTTTCTCACTAAACGAAATGACACTTCTCCAGGCGCTCGGAGATCTAGCCGCACCCAACCCTCCCAGCGCGGGTCTCAGACCCCTCTTTCCTCCTGGCTTTCAACTTCCCCGCCCCCCATCAGCCTGGGTCCACAATCAGGTTCCTCCCGGGCACTCCTCAGCTAATGTCAAACAATGCAACCAAAGACAGCGGAGAGGGAATGAAAGGCCAACCAAACCGGACGACAAATACAAAATCCACATGAGGAGAAGGATTTAGTCCGCGGCAGCCGCTTCTAAAGCTCCGTGACCCGCTCCCCCAGGCCCCGCCTCACCCCTCCACCCCAGGTGGCTGCGGCCCCCACCTCCATTTCCTTACCTTCGTTGCTGGGGCTGGCCAGGAGGGTCCGAAGCGCGGCGCACAGGAGAAGGCACGTCCAGAGTGGGGCCCTGCGAGGTGCGGAGTAGCAGCCGGCCAGAGACGCAGGGGTACGGAGGGTGTCGCCGCCGCAGCCGCCCGGGGGCCTTCGGCGTCCCGCACCCCGGGGCCGGGAGCCCCGCATCTTCTCCTACCCTCTTCTGCCGCTGTTGTCCCGCGCGCCTCAGTCCACACCTCTGTCCTCAAGGAATGGGCGAGGGAGACTCGGGGCTCCTCCTCGTCCCCCGTGGGTTCCTATGCCTTCTGGCACGCGGCTCTTCTAAATGCGGGCACCACAGACCCGCGGAGACAGCTGAAGTTTGCTTCTGGCTTCTTTCGCCTTCCCCCTCAGTGGGATTCAATGAAACGCCAGCTCTGATTGCCAGAACTGTTCTTGACTGGGCTCAATCAAGGGTGCCGGGAGGGTCTTGGGTCCTGTTCCTTTGCCTCTGAAGACTTTTGAAGAATTGCGATTTTTAAATGCCACCGGAGGGGAGGGAAATGTTCCTTTTCAGTCTTCAGTGCTGAAATGGACGAGGGTAAGGAAGGCAAGTCATCTTAAGACGAAATTTCCAATAAAAAGAAAATCAGGGTGGTAAAGGATAAAGAGAGAGGAGTTGAGAAAATATGGGGTGAGGGAAAAAAAAAAAAGAGGAGAGAGGCGAGCAAAGGCAAAGATCCAAAGAGTTCAAAGAGGCTGGCAGAAGGAAATAGCTGCGGGCTGAGTGCTGACGAGGGGCGGTACTGACGGCAGTGAGCGGGCTGGAGCGCGGAGCTGGGCTGCGGCGGCACGGAGCTGCTGCGGTTCCCGCTGCTCAGCGAGGAGGCGGTGTGTGCGCGGCTGCGAAGGCRAGCTTGAAACTGCACCGCCACAGCGCGCTCCTGCTGTGTCTGGAGCTCCGGCGTCTCCGCTGCCTCCCGGCTCTGCGCCTCCCACCCTCCTTCCCTCCTCCTCTTCCCAGCTCCCCCGCCCCTCTGTGCTCTCAGCCTCGCCAGTGAGAATCTACTGTAAGTGTGAGTTGCTTAGACGAAGTCACACACCCACGGAGGGAAGTAATCTGCAGGCTGCCGTGGTGAGTGTTGCCTAGCGGTCTCCGGGAAAGGCGCGTCTTCCTCCCCAGATAATTAGGGCAAAGAATCCTCCTGACGACGCCAGCGAGGACCAGAGTTCCCGGGAGGCAGAAGGGAAATCAGCCTTAGCTCAGCGTCAGCCCTTGGCGAAGCGGGTCCCTTGGTTTGGCATATTGCCTGCTGCCACTCACAGGCTTGTGGCATCAACAACCTTGTCGTCACACAGCCGCGCTTTCGCAGGCTCTGCTGGTCCGTGGCTAGTTTCTTAAACAACCATATCGCTCACTGCTATTGACCCTTCCTGTCCTTCCCATAGTTTGGCGGCTTGAAGGAGAGAATTACCGAATGTTTTCTTCAGAAGTAAATTGTAGAATATCTAAATTCTATTCAGGCTGTAGGGTCTCAGATTTCAGGGAGTTAAAGAATTTGGGAACTGAGATTTGCACTGTCAAATACTTTAAGATGTCATGATTTAATTCATTTATTTAATTAATAGAATGTTTAAATATTTTAGAAAGTATATAATGTGCAGATATATGCAATTAATTCTAGTGATATTAGCATGGGTCAAATAATCTCAGGGTTAATTATTTTAATTGCTTGTGTTCTCTTACATTGAGAGGTTTACAAATAACCAGGAGAAAAACAGTTTAAGACAACGTTCTGTGCTTCACCTCCGTTGTGTCTCCCTTTGCTTTAATATTTTCCATCAATTTACTCATACATTCGTCGAAAGAGATACATCTGAAGGGCAATTTTAGTAAACTGGCATTTTAAAGAAAAAACTGCGAATAAAAACGCATCCACAAAAATGTGATTTTAGAATAAAGATATCTCATTTAACTTGGGGTCTAGTAACAACTGTCAAGATTGGGCTTGTATTCACACCTAATAAAGATGAACCTGTTCACCAGCTTTGACTTATCTAGACTCCTGTTTGCCTTCACAATAAATCAATCGCACTCTTTAGCTGATGACATTTGTTTTTTGATTAAATATTTGCAATGAAGATGGAAGAATAAAGCTGCAGTTATGCAATTTTGTAAAGAGGTAGAAACTCATCTTTGATTTTTTCCCTGAAATATTTTGGCACCAGAAGTCTGAAATCAGCTTCATTCTATTATAATGTGCTTCAAATGCATGTAGCAAATTTAGAGGAATGGCAATAAATCAGTCTTTCAGTTTGGCTAAAAGCTTCACAGTGAGATGGAAAGTTTAAATGCATGTTTCTATTTGAAGACCATTCAAAATGTAAGCATCTTTCCCTACCCCATTTATAGTTGAGTTACTTAAGAATTTCTAAAGAGAATAATAAGATATCTAAAGCCTAAGAATACATAATAAAGCTAATATAAGACATAAGCTGTTTAATGTGGTTTTGAGCTAGTTGTTTTACTTCTATAGGCCTCAATATCATCATCAATAAGATCAGGGACATAGAGAAGATGATCTTCAAGCTCTCTTCCATATTCTTTGAATTTCTATCTTATTCCCCAGTTCATCAAGCTTCGGTTACTTACTATTGACTACAAAAAAATAAAAATTTCTTCAGCTTAGAACTTAAAGCCACAAAAGGCTTAGAGAAATTTTCTATTTTATTTTTCACTAAAATTTTAATCTCAATGTTCCTCTAAATTACCTCAAGTGTCTGAATTTTATATCTGCCCCTCCATTCTACAGAAATTCCACTCCCTAACAATTATTTAAACCACCCAAGACACATAGTACTTTCATCTAAATCCTACGCATTATTTAAGGAGAGTCAGACACTGAAGCCTGATTCTTTTCCAGACAAGAAATGACTTGGTTCTTTTCTTGGAAGTATATGTAGCTTGTGATTTATGTCAATCAACACAATACCAATATTTTCTGAATGTGAAGTTGGAAGTAATTATCCATCTGGAGGTTGAATATAAAGGGACAAAGAGAATTTAAAATAGAGGTATCAAAGAAAACCTGGAACCCTGGTCATTACAGTCATAATTGTGTGATCTGCTACCCAAGATGGGCTAATTCAATGATTGAGAATACAGAATGCAAAATCCTTTTAATTCTCCACCTTAAGTAGCTTAAAGTGTTGAATATGAGGAAGCAGGAACAGCTGTAGAATGAAGCCCAAAGGCAATAATAAGTTATATTTTATCTAGAGAGGGTTAATCAGAGAAGGCAATGTTAGTACTTTGGCTAGGGTCTCAATTTCAAAGAGTTATCCATGTGTTGATCTCTTGGCATGCTAGTACTCCTAGCACACTTACATAGGAACATGGCATTGCATGAAAACTAGATCTTTTTTTTTCTTTCATGCTTATTGCTTTTCACAGCAAAAGGCTATGACATCAGTATTGGTTTGGATGTCCTATTGTTTGTGTTTCTTATGTTTGCAATTGACTGCTATGGCCTCAAAAGGTAAAAGTCACTCGTGTCTTGCTGGGTCTCTGCTTGTACATGACTTCAGTACTAAGTTTCAAGAATGAGGGATAATCTAGAGTAACCATGATAAGGCACCTAGAATGTTTACTACCCTTATAAAAAGTTTTGCTATATGATTGAGTTCAGTGTATTAATAACCCTGAACATATCTTCTTTGCACTCAAAATAGAGCAACAATCTTGATGAAAGACTTATTATTATTTAGTAAAGGTTTGCCATGTTTGAATCATTATGTGATGTTTTTACAATAATCATTTTTTACATAATGCTGAAACTTCAACCATGATGTAATTATCACTCCCATGTTAATGAAGAGAAAACTGAGGTTCGGTGATCTGAGTGCTAATTCAGCTGGTGAGCCATAAGAACTTTATCCCTTGGTGCTGACTCTATCCAAGAAGTGCTAATGTAATGGAAGTAAAGGATAGAATTGATAACCAGTTGATTAGATAAAGAAGACTACTCAAAAATTTTACATTAATGACAAAAAAATAATAGATCAAAATATTCAAATTCAGGTTTATTTAAATCCAAAAGCAAATAAGCAAGTATATAGTATAGATCGGATAAATTAATAGAAGAAAATGAGAAACTAATATCATAAAAAACGTTATTTAGAGAAAAAAGACAGTTTAAGGTACACAGAAGCATGCCGGTGGAAGAAACATGTACAGTAGAGATCATTGACCAAATTAAGAAAATAACAAAGTTAAGGATTGTAGTCAGATAATATTAGCACAAACAGGTGGCCCAAAGCCTGTGTATATACACCTTGGAAGAAAACCTAAGAAAGAGTCTTTATAGTCTTTTATTTAAAATGTTTTTGTCTCTTAGCTGCATTTTCTTATAGGGAGAATTAATGAAAAACAAAAGCAAAACAAAAGATATCATTAGATATCCTATGAATCTTTACTATCCTAATGAAGTTAATTTTTCAGACCCATGATTTGCTGAAGAGGATAGATGTATGTTGATGTTAATTATTTTAAACCGAAGGTAAATGTTCACATTATATTTAAGCTATCAATAGCCCTTGAAGTTCACAATCAAGATAATATATAAAAATCATCCTTATATATTGAATTTTAATTTAATGAACATAAAAGAAAATATTTCATTTTTATTCAGCATTATTCTGACCTTTAAGAATTTTTTATCTCCATCAATGACTCACATTTCTACCTACTTATGTGAGATTAAATCTTATTTCAAGTTAATTGTATCAGTTGGATATTTTTAACTTTAAAAACAATGAATAATAATATTTTAACCAATTAATAAAGGTTGGAATATGTCAATTATTTTATTGCTTAAAAACAAATTGAAGTATTACTCATCAGAATCCTCATTTATTTATTTTTTAATTTGTTTTATTATTTTTTTAATACACAACAACAGTGGAATGCATTACAATTCTTATTACACATATAGAGCACAATTTTTTGTATCTCTCTATATAAAGTATGTTCACACCATTTTATGCCATTATACATGTACTTTATAATTAAATATATTTATATCAGAATTAGCACTCAGTTTTCCCCTATGATTGTTAAGAAACGAGTAAAATCCTCACGCTATCTATGGTTATTAATAGGAGTTCTGTAGCAAAAAAAAGAAAGACAAAATATTCAAATAAATTACAGTGAGACAAGGAACCACACTGGTCATTGTTGGTGATCTAGTCTTTAATAGTCCCTATAGCACTATACCAGGATTGAAGATATCATAGCATAGTGTGAAACCAAGGCTGATATAGTTTATGGTCAGGCAAATTGACTTACCAGGAAATTCTTTGATGGTTGCTTGCCTCCAGCGTCTTGGACAACTGCATCATATAAGGATGTGGATACTGAAATAATAAGGACCCTTAAGGCTGAAGAAGAAAAGTGTGCACAGAAGTGTCATAAGATTGATGTGACTTAACTGTGAGCATTAAAATTCCACTTAATTCTAACCCATCTTCCAAAACCCAGAAATATTTGCTAATATGTGTGAAATAAGCTATAATATTTTCTATATTTAGAGGACTTTTTTAAACTCAGTACTATGCTCAAAACATTAATAATAACTAATCCACTCATACAAGAATAGGCTTTATAACATAACTAGATACAGTTTGTCAAGGGAAAAACTGATCAATTTGCTCAATGACACAGAACAAAAGGAGTACATAAGTGACCAGCCTTTTGTTATCACTGTTCACTGTCTTGTTGAGGAAAATTTTACTTAAAAGTTAGCAATGATGAGCTCATGTACTCTGCTGGTAGGCTGTTAATCTAGAATGCCTTTTGTAGGGTGGCTTTCTTAGTATCATCAAGTGATTTTAAAATGTGACTAGTTTTATACTTAGCAATTATTTTTTTCAATTTAACCAAATAAATTAATTAATAT